GGGGTCGCTCCCCGCCACTGCACCGTCCCCACCCTGTGACTCACGCCTGGGGGACGCTCCCCGCCACTGCACCGTCCCCGCCCTGTGACCCACGCCTGGGGGTCGCTCCCTGCCATTGCACCCTCCCCGCCCTGTGACCCACACCTGGGGGTCGCTCCCTGCCACTGCACCCTCCCCGCCCTGTGACCCACGCCTGGGGATCGCTCCCCGCCACTAAACCGTCCCCTCCCTGTGACCCACGCCTGGGGATCACTCCCCGCCACTGCCCCCTCCCTGTGACCCACGCCTGGGGGTCGCTCCCCGCCACTTAGGGTGACCAGACAGCAAGTGGGAAAAATCGGGACAGCAGGTGGGGGGTAATAGGAGCCTATAGAAGAAAAAGACCCAAAAATCGGGACTGTCCCTATAAAATCGGGACATCTGGTCACCCTACCGCCACTGCACCCTCCCAGCCCTGTGACCCACACCTGGGGGTTGCTCCCCACCACTGCCCCCTCCCCGCCCTGTGACCCACGCCTGGGAGCCCTCCTGCCCCTCTACACCAGGGGGACTTGGACCAGAGCCAGGGTACCCTCGAGGGGAACTGAGCGCCCCTGGCTGTGCCTCCACCTGCCCGCTCCAGTGTAGGCCCCAGGCCCTGGGGGAGGGGGCAGCCGGTGGCAGGGGGGCTGGGCCGGCTCCCCTCTTAGGCCGGGCTCCCTGCGGCAGGTCAGCTGCCTGGGGCTGGAGGAGGGCGTGGAGAACGACCCCTGCAAGTTCGCCCTGACGTCGCGGGGCGCCGACCGCAGCAGCGTCCGCTACGTGCTCCAGGCTGCGGCCCCCGAGATCGCCCGGGCCTGGGCGGCCGACATCAGCCACATCCTGGAGACCCAGCGCGACTTCCTCAATGGTAGGTGCCCCCCACTCCTCCACCGGGGCTGCCCCGGCCCCTCCCTCGGCCCTCGGCTGCCCCGCCCACAGCCCCACCCCTGGGATGTCCCGCCCACAGGCTGCCCCGCCCACAGCCCCACCCCGGGATGTCCCGCCCACAGCTCCGCCCACATGCTGCTCCGCCCACAGCCCCTCCCTGGGACGTCCCGTCCACAGCCTGCCCTAGCCCCCATCAGACCTCCAGGTTGCCCTAGCCACCTCCCCTTGGGTGCACTTTCCCCCCTCCCCCCTTATCTGCCCTACCTATGGCCCGGCAGGGTGAGAGGTTCCCAGAATGGTCAGGGGAGGGGAGCTGTCCCCCAGGCGTGTGCGGCCCGTGCGCCGTGTGAGCGTGCATGTGGCTCTGTGCAGCGTGTGACACACGTCCTGCCCCGTGTGGTTCCCCCCCCCAGCGCTGCAGTCGCCCATCGAGTACCAGCGGCGGGAGAGCAAGTCCCACAGCCTGGGCTGGGCGGGGGCCCCGCGGGCATCGCCACCCAGCGGCCCAATGCGTCCCCACTCCTCCGCCTCCATGGACAGGAACATGGGGCCCAGCCTCCGGGCCTACAACTCCTCCCTGCCCTCCATCTACCTGCCCAGCAGCCACCCACCGCCCACTGAGGTACTGGGGGGATTGGTGTGCGGGGGGCAGGGACTGGGGGGCCAGCTGAGGTAGGGGGCGGGGGGCAGGGACTGG